CTGATGGAGGATGCACAGCTGGGCAAAGGCTGATACACTTCCAGGCCTAGTCTGTCTCATTTATTTGACTAAATGTGTTATATACATTTATAGGTTACCCCTTCTGCCCATATGTGGTTTTTTTTAAAAATTTGATAAACTTTGGGTTCACATTTCAATAAATTGTATTTGGTATTGCACTCGTGTATATTCGTCATTATTCTTACTGAAAATGTTGACTTACACATTCACATCTGACTTATTTGGTGACGTTGAAACCGCAGTACAAGGCTACAGCACAGTGATGTTGGAAGGTCATAAAGCAGAGCAAATAGACAAATAATCGCTGTGGCAGTGTAGATGTGGAACTTGTGCATTCGATCGCTGGGACTGTTTTTACAATAATAGTAGTTTCTCCGTGTATGTCTTAAAATCTCATAGCATCATCCTTTTTAATTTCCTCTTGGATGTTTTCTTGACCCTCAGAGAAAGGAAACATGTCCCTGTCTTTCGCGATTTGTTCCTTCCATTTCCTACAAAAAATTACAGGAACATAAAACATATTATGGCCGACAAGTGGTTTATTATGAACGCGGCTGTGTTTGTGTGCTTTAGGGGCTTTAGATATCTTATTTTGATGGTAATGTTTCGTTTTTTTTATTCCAACAGTGAGCTCAAAGACAATCGTTTATGAAGAACAGTATTGAAGTTCCATCACATTGAAATATGATTTTATCATTCAAAATAATTATTGTAACTGTTATCAAACGTTAGAGAGAAAACTGTAGCAGGCTTGGCTCTGTTGTCTCACTGAAAGGAATAACTTTACCACGTTTTTACATACAGTTATTCAGAGATAAATAGTTAGCAGTTCTCACTGGTTGTACGGTCCCTCCCCTCTACCAAGCGGTATGTGGCTCGTGGGAAGACCCGCAACATAAAACAACCCACCGCCAAACACAGGTAATTTAGTTATTGAACGGGGCAGAACCAAGTTGGAGGATCAGTCGTAAACAAACAAAAAGAAGAAGGATAGCCTGCGGGCCAGTGTCCAGTACCATGAGCGTAGCGACCCAGACTTCCCTCCTCTACCCAGAGGTCCAAACACAAGCTACTGGGAAGGATACAAAGCGCGAAAAACCCTATCTTAATATCTTCCTGAGTTCATCCAATAATCGCAAGCAAATATATTTTTATATATATATATCCACACGAGGTGAGAGGAAAGCCACGGTCGTTAATCCCTCGGTGTTTAGGCACGGGAAAAAGAGACCTCTTCTACTTCGCTTTCCTCTTTAAGTCCATCCCCAAGCGAATGTCTTCAGGACACCTGGGGGAGCGGAGCAGGGGCGGACCACGGTGTACCTGCACAGAGGGACGACCGAGCTCCCGACGTAACCACTGTGTTAAATTATCTTTGCTTGTTAATACATTAAATTGGAAGCTGCCAAATCACTTGGCCTTGTTAACATCTAAATGCATGTTTGCATGAAAAACCCTCACTTCTGGTGTGTAGGTGGTCTAGTCTCTAGTTGTTGATGTTACAGTGTATTAAGTCATATTTCATTCATTTAGCCATTCTTCTTGATATCTTGACGTATGAAAAAAGAGTCTTGTACCTGAGCTGAAGTTCACTGTTGTGAGGGCCAGTTGCTGTCTCTCACTCTCTTGGTCCCTGTCTGCTCCCTGGTTCCTTAAACAAACAGATATATATGTAAGTACCCTGTGTACAACAATATAACTGATTCTCTTCTGTTGAACATGTTGGTTGTGTTTGTCGAGTCAGGGTCCTTTTATTTTACTGTAACTTTGGAAGTTGTGTTACCATGCTTACTGTTTATTTGATACCCATTTGGGTAATGCAATTAATAAAACAACAAGTTTGGGTTTCGTTCTTCAAGATGGACTTGTTTAACCTGTAAGCTCAATAATGAACTCCAGCTCAACCAACCATATTTGTAATTTCTAAGTATCATCTTGAAATTATGACATTAAATTGTAATATAACACATCTTATGGTTGTTCACATACACTACTTCGCATTAGCTTGTCTACATACTGAGCACAGCCAATTTAAATTTAACCTTAGCGATGCTACGTTCCCTACTAAATAATAATAATCTCTCTAAGTTACAAGGATGACCTTATTTTATCAACCCTCAAACAGAAGCCGTTTTTTGTCAGTATTATCCCCACTTAACACTTGTCTATTTAGTTTTAACCTTTAGTCTATGATTTAACTTGGAGGTCTACTTTAGCTCGTTAGCAATGATGTGGCTACCACTCACTTACACGCTAACCCAGCCGTAAACATTATTACGTAGCTGATTAAAATCATTAACACATAATAAAGTACTCGGTTTACCGCAAAACCGCTTCACTGCCACGGTCTGTTCCACCGCGCGGTCCTCGTGAACGAGTCACAATGTCCGATTATATAAGCATGAAGAACAAACTAAACCAATTATAACCGGCCGGGGATCCGGCATAGTTGTGTATTCCTGGATGAGCTGAACAGGCAGAGTGCCTGTGCTTCACGGAGCAGCTAGCAGAGAGCACAAGATGCTACAGCAGCAGTCCACTTGACAGAGTCCTCACGTCAATGTGACCACGCCCTATTTATGCCAAATACTTTTATGCAAAAACTTTAAGACCTAATATAAATAAAAGGGTCGTGTTAGAAAACAATTCACTCACAGATCCATAATCATGAAGGTGGAATCTAACTATATTCATAATAATATTTATTGCATCCATTGGAAGAAACATATTTTTTTCTGCTGTAAAGTTGGGCATTTTAACATGGGGGTCTATGGAAATTGCTCCTTTCTGCAGTCAGTCCCTATCGGCCAATATATGAACTGCAGTGTGTGCCACTTCCGTATTGGCGTCCCGGCTCTTCCACAGAGTTTGCCGCTTGGTTGGGTGCTAACATGACAGCAGCATGTTAGCATTGTATTTTATTTCATGTTAGCATGCTAATGGTAGTGTTTAGCAGTGGCGTCGCCTGGCCTGGGCATTCGGGGCTTTAGCCCTGCCTATATGCCGTGAGCTGATAATCGAGCCTTCATTGTAACAGTCGCGGGTGTACTGTGTGTGCGTGTGGAGAGTGTTGCAGTAGAAAATTCCACTGTAGCGCCGCAGCCGCCGCCACTGTGGGCTAAGCCCCGAATGTTTTCAGGTTCAGGCAACAAGCACAAAACACAATAGTGTCCAAGCCTCAATGAGCCGCCAGTATTGCAAAGACAGGGCTAACATGTTACTGTCATTTGAGCGTTGTCTGTTACATATTAGCATGCTTATGTTAGCAGAAAGCACAACAAGCCTCAAAGAGCCGCATGATTGCAGGTGCTAGCACTGTTTCCTGTTATCAATTATTAGCACAAATCACAACTGAGTCAAGTCTCAAAGAGCTGCTAGCATGACTCCAGATGTGGTGTTGTTTGTGCTTCCCTGTCTTTTCAGCCTTCCCAACACCTTCTTTTTGCAATATTTAAAATGCAATACTAGGTTTAGGGGTATCTTTAAAATGCACCACGTCGACACAAAGACAGCTTCTCTGCCATGTGAGTGTAATGTCAATGCACTTCACCAGCAGAACTCCACAGGGCGTCCACACAGTCTGCAGCCATTCATACAAATCTGCTGCTAAGACTTTGCTCAAAAGCTCAGGCTATCATGGAGATGGATTTAATGTCTGAGACCTGACAGCAGGGGAGAAATAAATAAGTCATAGGGCATTTTTTAGCCTTGTCTTCCGTCTGTCTGCTGAAATGACAGTTTATATATTCCTGTGATGGATTAAAAAGTAATTTATACAATAAAACGTTTGTTTGCGGCACGTGTCGTTCGTTGATTGTTCTGCAGGGATTAAGGCATGTTTGGGAAAACGTATTAATATTAGAGCTAGACAATTTACGAGGGAATAAATCATTTAAACTGCAGGCATTTTATTTAGTTATTTCTTCACTTGGGTGGTATTAAAGCCTGCTTGCTCAGAGAAGATCAGGACCGTGTGCCAGAGATAATTATTGGCAATGATGACATTTGTGTGTGAGTGTGAGTGTGTGTGTGTGTGTGTGTGTGTGTGTGTGTGTGTGTGTGTGTGTGTGTGTGTGTGTGTGTGTGTGTGTGTGTGTGTGTGTGTGTGTGTGTGTGTGTGATCCAGTTAAATTATTATCCTTGACCTTGAGTGGCTGTAGACACATTCGTTACTGTCTGTTTTGGCTTCAGAGACAGACAACAACATCAGATAAGAGCCAGAGAGGCAAATTAGTCTCAGTTCAATCACTCTAACATTTAAATAAATATCAATACACCAACATGTTTACTATCTTACAGCTTTCCACTCAAAGCTACAGCTCATTATAGATGAAACAAACAAGAGTCTACATTACATGTCACTTGTTAGACACTTTTATCCAAAGCGACTGACATACTCAATGTGGGCAATCCCCTCAGGAGCAATTTGTGGTGAAGTGTCTCAGGGACACAACGACATGCTGACTGCAGTGGGGTTTGAACCTGAGAACCCTGATCCCAACACCAAGGCTCTATCCACTGCGCCACACGCCCCCCTTAAAGGCAAATGCTAACATACCGTGCTAAAATGCTCACAATGCTAAGGTGCAATGCTAAGATGCAATGTTAAGATGTAATGTTTACCAGCTTAATTAAGCATTTTAGCGAGCAACCAAAATGTAATTTGACATATTTGAGCTTTGTTTAACGCATCTGGCTCTCAGCTTGTCGGACTAGCAACAGTAACCAAGGGGGGGCGTGGCTTTGCGAAAGGTCAATTAGCACAGGTTGGACATCGTGTTTTCAGGGTGTTGGTGAGTCCTTCGGCCCCCTAGTGGCCAAATAAATCAGTTTATATTTAAGACATCACTTAACACAATGATTTGGACTCAAACGCACAACTTGACACTAACGTATAAAAAAACAAAGTGACTGGTATAAATGATTATATCGAAACATGGACTTTAAACTAAACCTCTGACATAAACGTGATTATGTAACTAAACATGGCAAAATCACCAAACTTGACGTGAAGCTACAGAAAAATAGGCATTTTAAACAACCAATCGGAGGTTCGAGCAGAAACCACAGCAGGGAGATCTTTAGCCCTGCAGGTATCCTTAGTCCTATTTGACATTGAAGCTGGTTCCAGTCGTGGTTTGGCATCACAAGTGAATCAGTTGGCCGGGTTTTTGGTGTGTGAAAGGGTCAGGACTCTAATCTGCAACCACCTGATTCAGTAAGGACGACCAAAATCAATCAAAGCTGTCCAGAGGAAATCGATACCCATTAAGAGGCACCGGAGAAAAGTGCAGGATGCAGGAAAGATAAACAAGTAGCAGTGTGTTATTAGGTTTCGGTTATTTGACGTGTTGTGCGATGTTCGACTATTTTTGAGTTGCAAAATCAACCAAATAATCCTTACCCTTTCAGTCTGATGTCTTTGTTACGACCCTGGGTCTTTAGGTCATTTGTGTGTGCATTATATATATTATACTAATTATACTAATATATATATTTTTTTTGAAACCATATATCTGAGTCAAACATTTCTTTAGGGGGAAATGTTTGATTTTTAGTTGGGGGGGGGGTGTNAAACATTCATTAGCTAACAATGACATTATTGTTCTATTAATATAAAGGGAGGTCAGGTACTCTTTAAAACAGCTGCTAGTTATGGGTACTTTTTACTGAAGTACATTTCAAAGCCTCTTTACTTTGACTTGAGTAAAGAAGTTTAGTCAGTACTTCTACTTTCACCAGAGTATTTTTAAACACGAGTATCTGCACTTCTACTTGAGTAAAGGATGTGTGTACTTTTGCCATCTCTGCCTGTTTGACGCTCGCTTTTACGCTTGCTCCGTCTTCTTTGATGAATCTGGTCGTAGCTTCGGTCTCTGATCTGATTTTCTCTTTCAGTCTGTCATACTTCTTCCTAAAACCCTCCTGTTTTGGTGGTGTCTGAAACGCTTGGTTTGGCAGCGTTCCAGGAGAAGGTGGACAAATGTAGCCTTGATAAGTGAAGCTTTTGAGCAGGCTATTCCTTTTGTAAACTGCGATACAGTCACGTAGTGGAGTCGCCTCAAAACCAGAGTGCAAAGGCAGGGACAACCATTGTGCCGGCATCAAACACAGCAAGTATCTTTTTCCTGATGGTGCATCTGCAAAATGATAACACAAAGACAGTATAATCAGTGATGAGATATTGTTCATATAGAGATTTTATGTGCACTTATAAAACACATATTTTTTTCAAATAATAATATCAGATTGGGACAAAATAACTGTGCGACATCCACATTTTCTAAATTGGAAAACAGTGTGCAGCAGTAAAGCAACTCAGCAATGTACAGTAGATTGTTTTAAATATTGTATTTTCACATACCTATTGTTGACATGTTACAACTTTCGTCCATGTTTACGAATGTCTGAAAATATGCTGTTATTTTGGTAAAGATTCTGTCAACCAATGGTCAACAAAACGGTCGTTCCAGCAACCAAATTCGAAGTACAACACTGGAATACATCATGATGAAGATGGCATATTTTGTATAAAAACAAATGAAACAACACATAGTAACAAAGCAACAAAGATTTACCACAGCTTTTTGTTTGTTTTCTACCATTGTTTTTGTTTATTACTTTAGATTTTATGGCTTTACTATTTTGATTTTTCCTATTAAATACAATCTTTGTCCTAAAAGGATTTTAAAGCAACATTTTAAGGAACTGATTGGCATTTAGCTAACATACGAGCCTGTCACATTAGAGGCGGAATAGCTTCAACATATTAGCATGTGTCGTAACAGGCGTGATATTTTTTAGCTAACATATTAGCTTGTGTTGTTAAACATGGAATATTTTTTTGCAAACATATTATCCAGTGGCCAGAGAGGCAGAACAGCACACGCTAACATATTAACCTGGAGTTGTTAGAGGCGTTATATCTTTTAGCTAACATATTAGCTTGTGTTGTAAGATGGAATGCAGAATCCATTGACAGGGAATTATGTTGTTGCCTAGCAACGATATTAGAAAGTAAACACCCAGTAAGCTTCCACTAAAAAGGCGAGTTGTGTACGATGTGCTTTTAACCTGCAAACTGCTCTGCAAAATGTGTTATCGCGGCGACACAGAACAAGCCTTCAGACTGCTTTCTATTTCACTCTGAAGACACTGTATCTTTGTTGACAGCGTATGGAAAAGCAATCATAAATACTGACACAGTCAATGCATTTCATGCATTACAGTATGTAATTAAATAAAATGCAATGCACAGCAGGCAGATAATTCGCTGTCAGAGCCATATCTCCGGCCTGTGTGCAGCACGTCATGTTTCTGTTACTGGCACCAGTCTGCTCTCTTTCCATTTGCCCTGGACATATGGTCTTCTATATTTAAAGGCATTGGAGTAGAGGACTGTGGGCGATGACTGTCTTGGCAGACGGCCAGTTGCAGTAGCCATTTATCCTGTGTGTCACTGTGCCTTTACTCAATTTGCACAAACTTGGCTGGGATTTCTTTATCTGAGCTTCAAACTGCTGCGTGTCCCCAGAGCAAAGATAACAACTCCAGATTCCACCGTCAGTTATATTTCACGCTAATTAATTAATGTACCCTTTCCCCAAATTCAGCTTGAAATATGCTCGTCCACCAAAATGAAAAAATCGAATCAGTCTTGTCACTTGCAGCTGATTTGTTGAGGTCTCAGCTCTCTGTCCTGCGCAGCTGTGTTCCTGTTAGAGACTCTGATAACACCAAATTAAAGAGAAGCCATTAATCTGGAATCACAAACGTCAAGCTGACTCAGATCAATAAATTAAACACTGTATAAACTCAGCATCCATTCCCATCTCGCTCCTACATTACAAATGAAGACTGATTTAGAATCTCAATCAGACGCATACGAGGAATTTAACTTGATGTCGTGGTGCATACATACAAGTAAAACAAAAATTACAAACACAGATAGAGAACTATTTTAATAACATTAACAAATATTAAAACATACAGTAAATCCTAGCATTTAGAAAAGGAAGTCAAGAATTGAGTTGTTACGTTCAGAGAAACACCGTTCCTGTCCTCATAGTTTTACTTAAATATGACAATGTACTTAATTACCAGCGGTGTTTCATGTTAGAAATGATTACATCAAAGCATCAAACTGCGGTAAAGAAAGATGAGGTAACGATCCTGCAGGAACAGATGCACGCTGTTATTCTGTAAACAGGAAGATAGTTGTTCTGTTTTGTTCACTTGTCAAAGCCTCTCAGCAGTTGTAGCAGCAGCAGAGCTTGAGACAAACAGCTCACGGAGACAATCAAGCCCCTTGAATTATATAATTGCTGCAATTTGCGCCAAAATCATACTTCTTCTCTGACTCATTCCTCGAATCTGAATACAAAGACATGATGCTCATATTTTTAGATTCAGTCTGACGTACAGATTGTGAGGAAATCATTCAATCAAATTTGATGGAATAACAAATGGTTGTTAACCTGCTTGGAGATCATAGGAAAAGACTTGCCTTCAAACCCAGAACTTGCTCGACAATCATCACGTTGTAAGTATGTTTTTAGTATTAAAGTAATAGTAGTTATCTGTACATGCATCAGTATATTGCAAGCAGTAGCTGCTATTACTTAAATTGACATGTATGAAACGGAGCCAATCCACCAAAATGTGAATAAATATTGAGTAAAGACATAATGAAGACTCCGGCTCATGAGGCTTGATGAAGCTCTTAGGGCAATCCTTCTCGACCCAAACTGTCCGAAAGCCATCAAAGGAAACGTAGGAAACATTGTTTATTGAAACGTTGGTTCAGCCATTTTCTTATCCCTGCTAACGCCATTAGCTCATCCATTATTAGCATGATAAGAGTACAGTACACAGCTAATTGACAAAAAAAAACATCATTCAAAATTGTTTGTGCAATATTTCACACTTTCAACCCTAACCCTACCCTAACCCTAACCCTAACCTGCATCTGATGGCAGCATTTTGGAAAGAATCGTAACTTAGTAAAACATAACCGAAACATTACGAAACATTTTTGTGTTTCTAAGATATTTTAGTGTTTGTTCTGAAAAGACAAAAACGTATGAACAATAAATTCAGTTTGGTGCTGGACGTCAGTATCCTAACCTAAAGCGTTACAGCGGCTACATTTGTTTGATTAACAGCAAGTCGTGTCTTTTGTCACTTTGAACATATTTAGGCTAGTAGTTTCCCTTTGATTGTGGTTTTGATGGCTAACGTAAAAGTGTAGTATAATAGAAGTCCATCAGTAGAGGCACTAAATACTAATATCAACCTGAAGATGGAAGTATTCAGATTTTTGAATTCTAATTTGACACTTCTGTCCGGACTAAGAGACGGACATTGCCTTATCCCTATCTAACTGATAAGAGGAAGTGGACACGGCATATATCCCCTTTTCTCCATAAATCTGGACCCAGCTCTCCTTATTCCTCCATTATTTTTACCCAGCATCATGTGTGTCCAAATGATAATAGGGGTATCTGATGTACTGACCAACATGCTAGCTGATGGACGATGGGAATAGCGGGAATCTCTCAGCTTTAGCACTCGATGTTAGAAAAGTGTTCAAAGAAACTGTTCAAGGTTTGCCACGCAGGAAAAGGTTCATGTTGGACATCATTAGTGATAGCAAGAAGCAGATGTTTAGGGTGGTTGTTGAATCTTAGTCTCTTTAGGATCTCTTATATGTGGTATTCGGATCAGGGTTCAAACCCCACTGCAGTCAGCATGTCGTTGTGTCTCTGAGACACTTCACCACAAAGTGCTCCTGTGGGGATTGCCCACAGTATTGAGTATGTATGTCGCTTTGGATAAGAGTTTCTAGCAAGTGACATGTAATGTAATGTAATATGTAAAAGGCTCGCAGGTATCTGAACCACTTCAAAATCAATTAAGTAAGAAAATCAATCTTAGACTCATTGACTTACATAAAGCCATGACTGTTGATTATTTGGCACAGAAAGAGGAACATGGGAAGACAGAGAGGTTGGAGGTCATGTTACGGATCATTTATGTGTTTTTAACTCGTCCGTTATTTTCTCAAGTGGCCTCCATTTCAAAGATGCTGTTTCTGAGCTGAATGTGCCGCAGGGTGTCTGAAATCCCCTCTCTCTCTCATGGAGTGTGTTTCTGATTCTACGCCGTAATAACACGACTGTTTTCCCGTGTTTGTGTACGTGGATTTGATATTTTTTCTTCTCCCCAGCCGGAGCCAATCGATTCTCCGCAGGCTGGAAGCAGAGCTTTCTGTCGGAGGCTTCAATGAGCTGGTGGGTGGACGGATTACTTCATTGTGGAGAGGGAGAGATTTCACATTATATGAAATTAAAACCTGTAATTAGGAAAAACAATGGGCTGGAAATTGTGCAACGCTATTTTGTTTTAATGATTAATTTGGTGTTCGGAGCCCTGTGGTTCTCGCGGGGAAATAAACAGTTTTGTTTTGCTGCAGTGAACACGGATCACTGGAGGAAACCCCGGCAATTTAATCACAACGTTGATGCAAACCTCAGCTTTCACTCAGACGGTAACACTGAAGTGTTCGGAGGTTTGAGACGTGTCTGAAAGAGCAGATTAGCCCATAATTAACGGTAGTAATGAGCCGCTGTTAAACACCACATTTCGGTGTCTTCTGTGTTTGTGCTTAGAAGGAACATGCCAGGTTTAGCTCGATTCATTTTGAACAATTCATCCTGATCTTTGACATTTATACTTTATCCTTGTAATGATGTTTTCACATGATTTCTTTTCGGCTTCATTCTCAACCTTTTGACATGATAATACTAAACCTTTTTCACTTCATATTCACGTTTCAACAATATTTCCGGAATGGTACTTCGACTTTATGTCAACGTTTTGACTTTAGAATCTTTTGACATTATTCTCCACATTTTAACCCTATTCTCACGGTTTTACCATATTATTTATATAAACTTTGACATCTCGTCATTTGACACTTTCTACTTCAATTTTCCATCATGTTCACAGGTATGGACTAAAACCCAAAAGCACCACACAGATAGACAGAACGTTTTAGAAGTTTACTAATGCTGCGATCACACCGGACGCGATGCGATGTTTGGGGGCGGCGCGATTACATGTAAAGTCAATGCAGAGACGCGGACAGACGCGAATTCGCTCCGACGGCGAGCATGAAGCGGTGGACGCAAATTCCGCGTCGCGCGATTGAGGCGATGGAAGGGGGCCGCGACAACCGCTCGAGTTCAATTGTTTCAACTCGAGCGTCATTTTCGTGTGACTCGATCTCGCGGTAACCAATAAGCGGTGAGGATCTCAGCCTGCCGTCACTGAAGTAGAACCACAAAACCAAAACATCAGCCGTTAGCTGTTAGCACTCAGAGCTCACAGCTCCTCATATATGTTCAGAAACTGGACACAAGAACAAGTACAAACCACAGACTGTCTGTGTCATGGAGAATACAGTCGCTGGTTTATTTATGTCTGTAGGCCGTTGTTGTGAGTGTGGACGGACGGAGCATATACTGCGTTAGCTTAGCCGATCTCCATTCAGAAAACACACATTTTAAAAGGTGTTTCGCCTGCCGTCTGTCTGCAGACTTGTCAAAGCATTAATTCATGGTTTTTACTAACCGGTATCAGTATGTTGTTACTTCGGCATCATTTTGAAACGTGTATTACAATTAAATCACGGTAAAATATGTTCATCTTGTTGTAGTTGTAGCCCCCTTGCCAGCGATTCTCTCTCTAGTTTAGAATACTCAGCCCGACTCAGCCCGGTTGTTGGCCCGGAAAGAACCTTGATTTTGGAGAGCCAGAAAACTGTGAAAAAGTAACCGCTAGCCGGAACTACGCCAAGTGGAAACGCAACCAAAAACGGGCCGGGCACGGCACGCTCAAACCGCGCTGTAGTGGAAATGCGCCATAAGTGGTTAACCAATCACAACAGAGCCGGCCAGCTAACCAATCAGAGCAGGCACCCGTGAAAACAAAGTCACAACATTCCATACATGCAAACGTCAGTATTTACTATTTTATAAACCTTCAAATCCCCCCCAAAAAACTGACCTCAATAGTTTTCATCTTCCACTACGGGAAATCCATACTTTAATGCAACAGCAGGAATAATCAGGTCATTACATTCACAATTATAGCATGTACCGCCCTGTGAACCCAGCGTACATCTGAGGACTGAATAAATATGACAACGTGCCACAGTGATAAGGTAATAAGACCTCACAGTGTGTGTGTGTGTGTGTGTGTGTGTGTGTGTGTGTGTGTGTGATAAATATTTTACTACAGGTGCGTATAGCTTCCTTTTTTTATGTGTTGCACCTTCATGAGGGAGCTTAGTGTAGAGAATAAAATGGGAACACATAATGCAGCTCAATGTTATTATTTAAGAAGAAATATTGTTTCTCTGGAGGCCTGAGGTCAAACACAGAAGTGTAAAATGTGAGCTTGAGAAGAATCAGTTCAGGAAAGCCGGTTAGTTTACCACACCTTCTACCTCATTGTGAATACATCATGTTTTGGCAACATATTTTTGAGTCACTGTCGACAAAAGCAACGACAACATGCAGTATACGGTACTTCAGTCAGCCAAGAGGAAGGTCTCCAAAACGATTAGTGGTTTTCTCGCAGGGCGTGTAACATAATATGAATTCTTTCTCAGGCTCTTGATTAATATATACCGTTTCAATTTTCACATGGAAATAAATTAGCTGTCTTTTAATTACACTTCATATTCTGACACCTTTTATTTCCTTGCACCTGTAATGAGCGTCCCCAACATTTAACAACTTTCGATTCTTCACCACACACACACACACACACACACACACACACACACACACACACACACACACACACACACACA